TATTTGACAGGGCGCATAGCTGGATCATATGGGAAGAGGATGCTGCTTGCTGCTCTCCACTCCCGTGGCAGACATAAAGGCGCGCAGCGTCACTCACGTAAAAATGGACGAGGTAAGACGTGACTATGGTGCCTACATTTGTGTTGTTACCAGTTACTCAGTCCACCCAAATCTACTTGTATCTATGCTAATCAACACATCATAATTCAATCGTTTTTCTGGTTTTTCTTTAGACATTGTTCTTTTTTTGGCTCACTACCTGATCCTACATTTTAAAATCACTCGCCGAATCACTGGTGATGGTTAAAAAATCAAGACAGCATTCATCCTCCTACCGCCATGCTTCCTTATGCGTTGCCATATCTTTTCTTTCCAGAAGTCCTCCCTTCATCTCCTGGGTCAGCCGGCCGCGTGGATGAAACCCCTCCTCACACCACTGAGTATCATGTATACCACAAATATCCTGGACTTGACTTGACTATGACGACTCATGGGCTGCGACCGGCTACCCATGCGATGGACGGAGCTCCGCCGCCCGTCCTGACCCGGACGCTAGAAGGTGGGATGCTCATCATCTGCGTGAGACTTCTGAGACTGCGACCGGAGCCCCGCCGCCCGTCCCGACCTCTGACGCTAGAAGGTTGGATGCTCATCATCTGCGTGAGACTTCTGAGACTGCGGCCAGAGCCCCGCCGCCCGTCCCGACCTATGACGCTAGAACGTGGGATGCTCATCTGCGTGAGACTTCTGAGACTGTGGCCAGAGCCCCACCGCCCGTCCCGACCTCTGACGCTGGAAGGTGGGATGCTCTCATCTGCGTGAGACTTCTGAGACTGCGACCGGAGCCCGCCGCCCGTCCCGACCCGGACGCTAGAAGGTGGGATGCTCTTCATCTGCGTGAGACTTCTGAGACTGCGACCGGAGCCCGCCGCCCGTCCCGACCCCGGACGCTGGAAGGTGGGATGCTCTTCATCTGCGTGAGACTTCTGAGACTGCGGCCAGAGCCCGCCGCCCGTCCCGACCCTGACGCTAGAACGTGGGATGCTCATCTGCGTGAGACTTCTGAGACTGCGGCCAGAGCCCCGCCGCCCGTCCCGACCTCGACGCTGGAAGAGGGGCTCTTCATCTGCGTGAGACTTCTGAGACTGCGACCGGAGCCCCGCCGCCCGTCCCGACCCCGGACGCTGGAAGTGGGATGCTCTTCATCTGCGTGAGACTTCTGAGACTGCGACCGGAGGCCCGCCGCCCGTCCCGACCCCGGACGCTAGAAGGTGGGATGCTCATCATCTGCGTGAGACTTCTGAGACTGCGACCAGAGCCCCGCCGCCCGTCCCGACCCGGACGCTGGAAGGTGGGATGCTCTTCATCTGCGTGAGACTTCTGAGACTGCGACCGGAGCCCCGCCGCCCGTCCCGACCCCGGACGCTGGAAGGTGGGATGCTCTTCATCTGTGAGACTTCTGAGACTGCGGCCAGAGCCCCGCCGCCCGTCCCGACCCCGGACGCTAGAAGTGGGATGCTCATCATCTGCGTGAGACTTCTGAGACTGCGACCGGAGGCCCGCCGCCCGTCCCGACCCCGGACGCTAGAAGATGGGATGCTCATCATCTGCGTGAGACTTCTGAGACTGCGACCGGAGGCCCGCCGCCCGTCCCGACCCCGGACGCTGGAAGGTGGGATGCTCTTCATCTGCGTGAGACTTCTGAGACTGCGACCGGAGGCCCGCCGCCCGTCCCGACCCCGGACGCTAGAAGATGGGATGCTTCATCTGCGTGAGACTTCTGAGACTGCGACCGGAGGCCCGCCGCCCGTCCCGACCCGGACGCTGGAAGGTGGGATGCTCTTCATCTGCTGGTGAGACTTCTGAGACTGCGACCGGAGGCCCGCCGCCCGTCCCGACCCCGGACGCTAGAAGGTGGGATGCTCTTCATCTGCGTGAGACTTCTGAGACTGACCGGAGGCCCGCCGCCCGTCCCGACCCCGGACGCTGGAAGGTGGGATGCTCTTCATCTGCGTGAGACTTCTGAGACTGCGACCGGAGGCCCGCCGCCCGTCCCGACCCCGGACGCTAGAAGGTGGATGCTCATCTGCGTGAGACTTCTGAGACTGCGGCCAGAGCCCGCCGCCCGTCCCGACCTCTGACGCTAGAAGGTGGGATGCTCATCTGCGTGAGACTTCTGAGACTGCGGCCAGAGCCCCACCGCCCGTCCCGACCTCTGACGCTGGAAGGTGGGATGCTCTCTGCGTGAGACTTCTGAGACTGCGACCGGAGCCCCGCCGCCCGTCCCGACCTCTGACGCTGGAAGGTGGGATGCTCTTCATCTGCGTGAGACTTCTGAGACTGCGACCGGAGGCCCGCCGCCCGTCCCGACCCCGGACGCTAGAAGGTGGGATGCTCTTCATCTGCGTGAGACTTCTGAGACTGCGACCGGAGGCCCGCCGCCCGTCCCGACCCCGGACGCTGGAAGGTGGGATGCTCTTCATCTGCGTGAGACTTCTGAGACTGCGACCGGAGGCCCGCCGCCCGTCCCGACCCGGACGCTGGAAGGTGGGATGCTCTTCATCTGCGTGAGACTTCTGAGACTGCGACCGGAGGCCCCCGCCCGTCCCGACCCCGGACGCTAGAAGGTGGATGCTCATCATCTGCGTGAGACTTCTGAGACTGCGCGCCAGAGCCCCGCCGCCCGTCCCGACCCGACGCTAGAACGTGGGATGCTCATCTGCGTGAGACTTCTGAGACTGCGGCCAGAGCCCCGCCGCCCGTCCCGACCCCGGTCGCTGGAAGGTGGGATGCTCTTCATCTGCGTGAGACTTCTGAGACTGCGACCGGAGGCCCGCCGCCCGTCCCGACCCCGGACGCTAGAAGGTGGATGCTCATCATCTGCGTGAGACTTCTGAGACTGCGGCCAGAGCCCGCCGCCCGTCCCGACCTCTGACGCTAGAACGTGGGATGCTCATCTGCGTGAGACTTCTGAGACTGCGGCCAGAGCCCCGCCGCCCGTCCCGACCCCGGTCGCTGGAAGGTGGGATGCTCTCATCTGCGTGAGACTTCTGAGACTGCGCCAGAGCCCCGCCGCCCGTCCCGACCCGGACGCTAGAACGTGGGATGCTCATCTGCGTGAGACTTCTGAGACTGCGGCCAGAGCCCCGCCGCCCGTCCCGACCCGGACGCTAGAAGGTGGGATGCTCATCATCTGCGTGAGCTTCTGAGACTGCGGCCAGAGCCCCGCCGCCCGTCCCGACCTCTGACGCTGGAAGTGGGATGCTCTTCATCTGCGTGAGACTTCTGAGACTGCGACCGAGCCCCGCCGCCCGTCCCGACCCGGACGCTGGAAGGTGGGATGCTCTTCATCTGCGTGAGACTTCTGAGACTGCGACCGGAGCCCCGCCGCCCGTCCCGACCCTGACGCTGGAAGGTGGGATGCTCATCTGCGTGAGACTTCTGAGACTGCGGCCAGAGCCCCGCCGCCCGTCCCGACCTCTGACGCTGGAAGGTGGGATGCTCTTCATCTGCGTGACTTCTGAGACTGCGACCGGAGGCCCGCCGCCCGTCCCGACCCGGACGCTGGAAGTGGGATGCTCTTCATCTGCGTGAGACTTCTGAGACTGCGACCGGAGGCCCGCCGCCCGTCCCGACCCCGGACGCTGGAAGGTGGGATGCTCATCTGCGTGAGACTTCTGAGACTGCGGAGAGCCCCGCCGCCCGTCCCGACCCGGACGCTGGAAGGTGGGATGCTCTTCATCTGCGTGAGACTTCTGAGACTGCGACCGGAGCCCCGCCGCCCGTCCCGACCCGGACGCTGGAAGGTGGGATGTCTTCATCTGCGTGAGACTTCTGAGACTGCGACCGGAGGCCCGCCGCCCGTCCCGACCCCGGACGCTAGAAGGTGGGATGCTCTTCATCTGCGTGAGACTTCTGAGACTGCGACCGGAGCCCCGCCGCCCGTCCCGACCCGGACGCTGGAAGGTGGGATGCTCTTATCTGCGTGAGACTTCTGAGACTGCGACCGGAGCCCCGCCGCCCGTCCCGACCCCGGACGCTGGAAGGTGGGATGCTCTTTATCTGCGTGAGACTTCTGAGACTGCGACCGGAGGCCCGCCGCCCGTCCCGACCGCGGACGCTAGAAGGTGGGGTGCTCATCATCTGCGTGAGACTTCTGAGACTGCGGCCAGAGCCCCGCCGCCCGTCCCGACCTCTGAAGCGGGAAGGCGGGCTGATGCCCGTCATCTGCGTGCGACTTCCGAGACTGCGGCTGGAGGCCTGCCGCCCGTCCCGACCCCGGACGCTAGAAGATGGGATGCTCTTCATCTGTGTACAACTACTGGGGCGACGGTTGGAGCCCCGTCTCGTGTTTCCCCACCTACCTCTGAGACGGGAGTTTGTGGGTCAGTAAAAACCTCTTATTCAACAGCACTGCCAACTGAACTGATCGACATGACGCCGTTCTCTGCAAGCGAGTACGACCTTATGTCACCCACCTGCTCTACTTCGAGGGCTTCAGTCCAGGATGCAGGGGACCATGGCACATGGACTTTTCCTGAGCACTTGATGTGCAATCAAACAGAGATCACGGCTCCCGAGAACCACCATTTGGAGGAGAACGAATACGGAGAACAGGGAGCTGAGTCTGATGTCAGCGACGGTGTTGAGGTGGCTCCGCCCCAGCACAGTTCTCAGTCGCGTACATCTCAGTCGGCGAGGAACGGCGCATCGTGCGGCGAAGTGCGGAAAAAAAATGTTTGCATATATTGCAAGCAAAAGAGAAATCTGATATGGCGCCATATCAAGACGGTCCACCGTGACGAGAAGGAAGTCAAGGATATACAGGAGTGTGATTCTGAGCAGGAACGAAAAATGAAAATCACCGTGATGATCAACAAAGGCAACATGGAGCACAACAAACTCGTCCTACAAAGGGGTGAAGGTGACATGATCTTGGGAAGGAAGTCGGACCAGGCGTCCGTGGACGACTACGTGCCATGTCCTTACTGCTATTTTTGTGGTTAAAACCAACATGATGCAGCACATAAAACATCACTGTGTGGCTCGCAAAACAGAATGCCCAGACATTCCCACGGTGCTGGCAGAGAGCCGGACGCTCCTGAGTGACGGCCAAGAAGAAAATACTGGGTATCACAAGGACATATTGTCTCGTATGCACGACGATGCAGTTACGAAGACCATAAAGAACGATGAACTCCTGAAGAAGTGGGGTGCCAACTTGCACGCGAAACTTGGAAGGTCGGGTTTTGCGCAGATAAGCCAGCGCCTAAGGATGATGGGCGAAGTTGTCCAAGCAGCCGGAAAGAGCATGCAAGAGCTGATCAATGGCGAAGGATTTGATACGGTTGTAAGTGCCACCAAATCCGTCTGTGGGTTTGAGCAGGACAAGCTAAACGCCCACACGGGGCTGCCCACATACAAAACTCCTTCAAAGGCCATGCGGATTGGAGGCGAACTACGACAGCTGGCTGCTCTCAAGAAGGGCATTGCGCTGATCAAGAAAGAAGAAAGCGAAGTGAAAGATGCTGAGGCGTTCTTGTATCACGTGGACCAATTCTGGAATGTGAAGATCAGCAGCGTAGCGCTGAAGAACCGCGAGTCGAACAAGTATGACAAGAAAGACATGCTGCCCTTTACCAGCGATTTGAAGCTTTTCACCGAAAAAATGAAGGAACGAGTGAAAGAAATGACAGAAAAGGGAATACATGGCATGACAGACTATGCAAGGCTGAGCAAAGCGGTTCTCGCCCGTTTGCTAGTATTCAACAAACGCCGTCCTAAGGAGCTTAGCAGCATCCTGCTGCAATCATGGATCAACCGAGAGATGTACAAACAAGAGACGGTAGAAGAAGTGAACAAGTCAATGGGTGAAACAGAAAAGAAGTTGTTCAACGAGCTCGACGTCGTCATGTCCCGCGGCAAGTGCGGGAACAAGGTCCCCACCCTGATACCGAGCGACTGCGCGGCTCCGCTGCAGCTACTGGTAGACAACCGGGAGACGTACATTGACAAGGATAACAAGTATCTGTTCGCAAACCCTCTGGCGAGGACTACAGGACACTACAACGCAGGCGTGGTGCTTAAAGAGCAGTTGTCGGACATGGCACTAAACAGGGCAGATCTCTTCCATGCAACAAAACTACGGAAATATTGTGCTACAACGTCCCAGATTCTAGAGATGGTGAATTCGATATGGAGGTGCTCACCCGGCACATGGGACATGACAAAGACGTGCATCGTGGGTACTACAGACTGTCAGACGCTACTCACGAACTGACGCGTGCCTCCATCCTGATGATGAAGCTGGACGAAGGATGCCTCTCAAAATATAGCGGACGGAGCCTGGAGGAGATGCTCACTGAAGGTAACTAATCGTTTGTACATGTGCTAATCGTAACATCACCATTCGTCTGTCATTTTAGCAGACATTTCATGCAGTTAAAGCATTAATTTGCAATGTAGTGTTAAAGAGGCAATGCAATAACACCATGAAGAGAATCGTACAGAGCGAAGGCAATGTAAGACCGTTAAAGTTCACTGGTACTACTAGGTTATATGCAGACCCATGGTGCTGTACTTCAGATTAAGGACGAGCGCGGATAGCCAAAGCAGTCCGGGTACCACCGTAGCACATATGTTCCGTTCAGCGTTTTTTTTCAGAAATGCTTGCCCATTATGGCAGGCACTTATTTTGCATCACACATTCTTAAATCTGACAGAGACGGTTTTTCAGAGGACTTCGACGAGCCAGGCTCTGAAAATGAGGGCGGTCCGGCTGATGATCGCCAAGAGGACGATGAAGGAGGTGAGGCGCATTCACTACATCTATGCGTGTTCCATGTCAAGCTTGCGGCTGAAGTGCTCTGTTGAAGGCAGTGCGTGATTTCTGTGCATACATCTTACATTCTAAGACTCAAATTATTGAATGGAGTAGCGCGCTCAGCGAATTGCCTGGAACTGCCAAGGGGACTCCGACCGCAAGCTTGATATGGAACAGACTATAGTCCGGCCTGAAGTTTTATAGTGGGAGGGCAATTGCATAGGTGAGTTCATATGCATTTATTGAAGCACTGCGATCGATGCAGGATAATAAGCGTATCGCTCAAAACTGCATTGTCCATGCGAGAATGCCTTTACTCACGTCCGTCTGAGGAGGGAGGGAATCCGACCATGGGCGATTTTTTTTTTTTGCAATAGCAGCTCGATGGCGGCGTGAAGCGCCGCCCGCCACCCAACCTCGTCTACCCTCGGCCTCGTTTGCAATTTTGCTAAATCTGTTACATATGAAATGTCATATGCAAAAAAGTATTTAAGCAACACTCACTGCGTCTCCTTTGGTGAAATCTTGAGCTTAACGTATTGAGACAAAATATTTTGATAAAGCTCGATAGGGCTTGTTCTAAGTTATCGAATGCTATCTTAATTGTTCTAGCTTTTATGTTTTTTTTCGAGACACGTAGCGTTTCGTGCTGAAAAGCGCCATTTTTATTTTTAATGCTGGCTTTTATCATGCAAACCCTCTAATATTGATGTAGTTAGGGAGCGAGGACTCATGAGCCCCTTTCCCATGAAAATTTGCTGTTTTTAGTTCCATGGGAGCGAAACGTAAGTGGGGTCGTATCAAGCCCCCCCCCCTCCTCAGTCGTTCTTGTTCGGGGTGGCAAAAAAAAGCAGTAGACAGGTGCAGGTTTAGGGGACGTCGTGCTAACGAAACGACAAACTCAAAATCTTTAACAAGACATGAAGCGAAAAGATCTTTTTGGCCGGAGGAATCCAGAGCGTCGTAAGCCTCGTCGTAACTGCGACGTGTCGCAAGTTGTGTAGTAAGTCGTTTTTGGAGGGATCAATCGATGAGTAGCGTTACTTAAGTAGTAAAGCCTGTCGCAAGTTGCCTGATTTGCGACACAACTTACGAATTTGAAATAGCAGTCGTAAGTTGTGTCGTAAGCTAACCTTGCTTTGAGGAAGAGGTCACAGGTCACAGGTCATTCGGGCCATGGTCACGAAATTTACATGGTTAGTGTAAAATTGTTTGAACTTGAGTTAAAATTTGGTTACAATCCGTTGACGCTAACGCGAGTTATAGAGCTTGAACCGACGGTCATCTGTGAGGCCTCAATCCGTGCCAGCGAGTGTTAAAAATGGTGCATAATATGTTATATTCAAATTCATTGGGGTATTCAGGGATACAAAGCAGCCTTATCATTCCAGCAACTACTGGCGAGTCCAGAAAGGCGATCTTGGACGTTGCGAGGGGCCCCCAAAAGATTCTCCCAATTCCAAAAACGACGTGTCTCAGATGGCCCCCATGACTCCAATTTAGCTCTGTGATGACCCCAGTTGACCTCTGTGATCTGCCGTGTCTCAGATGACCTCCGTGACCTCCCATTGAGCTCTCTCATTACTCCGAGCTGACCTCTGTGACCTGACGTGTCTCAGATGACTTCCGAGTTTTGTGATGACCCCAAGTTGACCTCTGTGACCTGACGAGTCCTATATGACCTCCAATTGAGCTCCTCATGACTCCGAGCTGACCTCTGTGACCTGACGTGTCCCAATTGAGCTCTGTGATGAGCCCAAGCTGACCTCTGTGACCAACGTGTCCCAGATGATCTCAAATTGAGCTCTGTGATGACCCCAAGTTGACCTCTCTGACCTGACGTGTCCCAGATGACCTCTATGACCTCTAAGTGACCTCTGATAACCCCAAGCTGACCTCTGTGACCTGACGTGTCCCAGCTGATCTCAAATTGAGGTCTCTGATGACCCCAAGTTGACCTCTGTGACCTGAAGTGTCCCCAGATGGCCTACAATTGAGCCCTGTGGTGACCTCAAGTTGACCTCTGTGACCTGACGTGTCTCATATGACCCCCATGACTCCAATAGAGCTCTGTGATAACCCCCAAGTTGACCTCTGTGACCTGACGTATCTCAGATGACCCATATGACCTCCAATTGAGCTCTGTGATGACCCCAAGTTGACCTCTGTGACTTGACGTGTCCCAGATGACCTCCGTGACCTCCAATTGCTCTTTGATGACCCAAGCTGACTCTTGTGACCTGACGTGTCCAGTTGACCTCCAATTGAGCTCTGTGATGACCCAAAGTTAACCTCTGTGACCTGACGTGTCCCAAGTTGACTTCTGTGACTGACGTGTCCAGATGACCTTGTAACCTCCAATTGTGACCTCCAACTTCAACTCTCTTACCTCTCTGTGACTTCAAACTCTCTGAACTCATTTCTTCTAAGCATAGCTTCAGATGCTCTTAGCCACGAATCTCCTGTGATCGCCCCAAATTTTATGGCAATTATGTGAGCGTTTAGCGATCACAAGTCACCCAGTTGAGACAAAGCTTCAGAATCAGAGAACATGCTTGACCTGGCTGTCTCATAAGCTCTCAAACCAGAAAGGCGAATGTTCCGTTATGCGTGATAGAGTTTTCGACCTTACTGACGTTTACTACGGGATCAGCTGATCGTGTAGCCTTTTAAATTCTCGAGTAAAGCGGGTATTTAAGCCTCGTCGTAGCTACGTTCTGTCGTATCCTCCGACAAACCCCTCTTTCCTCAACATCCCTCCTTTTTCGCTACGACACAACTTGCGACGGGACATGTGTCGTAACTTGCGACGTGTCGTAGATGGACTTGCGACGCCCCGGCCAAATTTATGTTCTCATGCATAACCATGTAATGTTAACAGAATTACATGGTTAAGTGGTTCTATTCCTAATGTTAACTATATTTTTTAATGTCCACAGGCCATGAACAGCGGAAGAAGGACCGCAAAAAAGTAAGTGAAAGGTTTGGCGCCTTACATCGCCTGCATCAGCTTTACGTGTTGCATTATTTTCATAAACGTATTGAAATTTCCTGCATTAAATACCCTCTTTGTTAAATTTGTATACCTTTTTATATGCAAAGAAACAATAAATGTTGATGGTTTGCCCCTCCCGATTTTTTAGACTCGCTAGTAGAGGCACCTATGTATCTTGCGGCAATGGCTAACAAACAAAGAAAACGGCAGACAAGGAAGCATGAAGCACCAAGTCCAACACATTCTGCCGTCCAAAGTCAAAACCCCACATGTCAATTTTGGGTCATTTTTCGTTTTTTACACCATTGTGACCAGCTTGCAAAGCTCTATTTCATGCCATGAGGATTTTTTTTCAAAAACCAAAAAAAGCTTTTTGGGAGAGGAAAAACAAATTTTGGAATTCACACGTCTTTGAAAAGCACGGAAGTGACACAGTCAAAACCCACTACGTCGGCGAAAACCCACACGTCATGGCTAACCTATGTGCCAGTGACAAAATCCACGTCGGTAAACCCATAGACGTTCTTGCAGATTATGAAATGCTTGCAACGTCAAAACCCAATACGTCGCTACACTACACAAGGACGACGTGAGGGCTTTTGACATGTGGTTATATGCTGTCTGCATTGAGTTTATCCTGTTCGGTCGCGAGGACGTATGGGTTTTTGCCGTCTTTGAAGCATCTTTAAAGCCGTATCAATGGACATCAGTATCAAATGGACGATTTGAGATACGGAGAGTGGCACGACATGCCTATAGCAAGTCTCACGGTGTTGCCGAATTCCGAAATGACAGCAGGGGACGAGTTTTGCTGAAGTGGAAAGGATGACGTCACTCAGTTGCTGGAGAGCTGAGGGCTGTTCACGGGCCCTGTGTGCGGTCGGACCGCACACAGCCTCCAAGCTCCGCCCACTGCGTCCCTACGTCAGCCTTCCGTCACCGCACACAGCGACCGCTGTGGCCGGTCGGGACTGGCCACAGCGGATCGTTCACCGCACGCAGCCGTGACGTCAGAGCCGCCTACCCATCCCCTACCCCCACGCCTGCTGGACGCACCGCACACACCGCACGCAGCAGTGTGCGGTGCCCGTGAACACCCCTCAGGGTCCTTTACAGCTGCCTCTCGAACCTTCTTCTCCGTTAGCGGTGATAGGTGTTCGCCCCTGACGCAGATGACGACCTTTTCCTCATCGGCTTCTTCTACGGGCCCTGTAGTGGACAGCCGCTGGCGTGACAGTGCGTCAGCGACAGTGATCCTGCTGGCAGGGGCGCTCGTCACTTCGTAGACGTACGGTAGCATTCGAGCCTACCACCTAGCAACAGGTGCTCCCGCCCAGTCTGAGAACTTAGGCGAGGAGCGTGTTCATCACGGACTGGCCAGTCCGGAGTGTTAAACGTCGCCCTCAGAGGTAGACGTTCCACCGCTCCATTGCTTGCACGGCACTGAGGGCCTCACGGTCGGACAAAGAGCACCGCTCGTCAGGACAAAGCACTGAGCCGTCAGGACAGCTGTGACATGATGGCACCAGCACCCAGCAGTGCTATCAAATGAATGATTCGGATGCGCGTGGCCGTGACGTCACCACTGTCGGTAGGTCTCGGTTTAAGGGCGTCAGAACCGGGCTGCTCGGTACCATTTTTGATGGTCTGGAACCTTGACTCTTCCCCCATCCACTCTAACAGCACTCCTTCCGTAGAATCACAGCAAGTTGTCGGATGTAAGCGCAGACTGGGATGGAGCGATTCGACCAGCAAGTCAGCGAGAGGAAACTTCTGAGCTCCCTAACAAGTTGTGAAGGAGATTCTGGCAAGCAGAGTCTGTCGAGACCAGGCCGGAGGTGATTTGCAGAAATCGTATCAACTCACCGTGCGAGATGAACGCTGATGTTCCTGCTCTCCGGATGGGGTTCCAGTTGCTCACATGCCGACCGGAGATCGATGTTGCTGTAGACTCTGCCATGAAGTCGAGCCTGGTACTCTTCGATTGTCGAAAGAGGATATATCTCAGCCACAATATGTGAGTTGGGCCACCTGATGTCAACGCTGCCCGTTGAATTTGCGAGAGAAGACCTGCGGGTTCACCCATGAGGACGCTTCAATCTTCTCCACGATGTCTTCCGCTCCTCCTGCACCTCATCTCGAACAGAGAGCAAAAGACGGCGCAGCTTGTAGTCCGTGGGCTTAGGGACGAGGATGGGACATTTGGGACGAGGATGCTGTAATGCTGGTAGCCATTGATGGTCGGGAGAATCGCATCCCCCTCCTCTTGTATGGTGAAGACCTCACCTGATGTTGGGAAATGGTGACACCCAGCTTTGCATCAGACCCAGGCCTGTGATGGCTTCCGCAGCGGCCATGTATCCACCAGGAAGAGGCTGGCATCCACCGACTGGTACCGGGCTGTGGCACGCAGACGTCGCAGAGTATTTACCTGTCACGCTGAAATGCATTCTCCCGAACCTGAGGAGGTTGGATGTGGATGGCTCGTAAGTGCATCCCTAGAGACGGCAGACGTACTCTGCACTAAAGTCTCAAGGTCGAGCAGGTTTCACCAGCATCCACCGTAAGTGTCATCGCTTGCCTACGCCTCTCTGCCTCCAGGATGACAGGGCCGGTCACCTTACTTACTGCAGGTGTTTACCTTGCACTGCAACACATGAAACGCCATGGTGGCCTTCTTCACTCGTGTTAACTTCCTCTTTCCGACTGCAGCATAGTGACTTCCTTCCACAGACGCGTCAGGTCACTCGTCTGGCAGGACACTGAGGGGCCCTGGCTGTTGGCATGGTCAGCGAGCCCCTAGCTCCCGCATGGCCTTCTACAGATGCTGGGTGTTCTGTCAACCGCGGCTGTCGGCTGATATTAGCCACTGCGTTGTGTTCATGACGAGCCATCAGACGACTGGAGGATTGAACGCTCGTAGGCTTCACACAAATCGAGCACCTTCTCCAGGGTGAGGGCACCGTCTTGCAGGAACTTCGCTAGATGATGATGCAGGATCTGTTCCACCACGAGGTATCTGATCGTCTTATCTTCAATCGTCCTGAAGTTGTTGCTCTTGTTCTCCGCGGGTCGGCTCATGGCCGGCCGTAGCCCAACGGCTCTCGGTGACTGAGGTAGCCGCGGCTGAAGGCCGCCACGACACCGCCGTCCCAAAGCTGCGTAGGGTCCGATCATATGTTTCCGAGTAGTTGGAGCCTCGCTCCGGCCAAGCATGGGCACCCGAGCAACACGCGCTCCGGTGTGTCCGGACCCTCGCGGCACACCAGGCAGCGCGCCACTGCACTGGGCAGGCCAGGTCGCTGCACTGTGGACACTCGCGCTCGGGGTGGCGTCCGATCCTGCGCAGATAACTCTACGAGTGGCTCCAGTGTCCCGCCCGCAGCTGGTGGACGTTAACCGCCTCGTCCCGAGACACCAGAAGCACCGGCATCGGCATCCGGTCTCCCATAATGTTTTTTGAAGATGCTGTCTGTCCAGCTGCGATGCCATGCCTTGGTGGCGGAGCGGCCAAGGCTGACAGCCTTCACGAAATTAATTCGTATATGATTGTCCAATTCAATTGTCCAATTCAAACAATCAGCCTTTACGAAGCAGCGGACGTCCATCGGGACGGCGGCTTGCGACATGCTGGAGGCCACTTTAGCCAGCACGTCCACCCTTTCGTTGCCGGGTATTCCGCAGTGTGCCGGGATCCACTGTATGAGGACTCGGAGTCAGGAGCAGTCGCCATACGGCGGCACCGAGTGCCGTCGGTCGTCTGACTCCCAGCACCACTCGCCAGCGTGGCGAGCGCCGCCTGCGAGTCTGAGCAGACGATGACTGGGCTCTCCGCCGGGCCGCCTTCCAGCTGTAGCAGCATCTCCAGAGCCCCGCGGATCGTCACCAGCTTAGCGCGGGTACTGCTGCATATCTTGACTGCGGGGGCTCGGAGCTCGTGTTCCTCGCCCGAGGGGAGGATTATCAACGCTTCACTCCCTCTGGCTGAGACACCTCCCTCCGCCGAGCCGTCGCTCCATACCTACACGGCGTCGTCTGGAAGGGTGGCCAGATGTTCCTCCGTTTCCGAGCGCCGGACGTCGGCTGGTGCTGTGCGGCTGATGTGGCTGCCGATGTCTAATTTATCGTCCTGAAGTAACATATATTGGCTAGTGCTCGCAAAGCGGACACATATTCTGTAGTAGTCTCACCAGGCTGTTGGCCTCTCCGACGGAAGATGAGATGCTCTACCGCAACACTGTTTGGACGCTCTAGGTAGGCCCGTTTACCCGGTTGATGCCCGCTAAGCAGTGCTGAACTAAACAACCATGTCTGCTATTTATCACTAAATCACCCGGAGCAGACGAAAGTATATCATGCGGGTATAACAGATGTAAAGTCGGTATCACACCGGGCGTCAGTGTTTCCGAATAAGTATGTAATTAGAAAGTTAACTCTTTGAAACAAAGGTGATGGCCTGAGGTTAAATATTTTGTGCTGTGAGAAAATCATTTAAAGCAACCAGTAATTGGTTGTGTTTTACCTTTTTGTCTATCAGGAAGTTCGTCAACGGTGTCACAATAGAATAATTTTCACCTTTGACAACGTGTATAACTGTAGGGCGGCCCATTACCTGACTAGAAAGGTTGTGAATGCACCCTTGTCCTTCCATCGATGTATTGTGATTGGAAGAGCGTCACGGCGCTGGTAAAAAACTTGCCTCAGGCTAGTCAAGGCGTATAACAGGGTTAACATTTCTTTATTTTTTCAGAGCGATATGTAAAGTGGTCTGTGCCCGAAGTGCAGAGACTGCGGGCGATACTGAAAGCCCGCGGTGGGCGGGTACCCAGTATGGATGACCTCAGAGACCTGTACAAGAGGGAGCCGTTCAACGGCCATAATCTGAATGACATAAGATGCAAGATGTACAAACTTAAACAGAAGGCAGTAAGTATTGACAATGTATTGATGCACTTCTTTGTACTTGGCGCGTATGTTTGTTGCGATGCGCTATATTCGGTTGCTTATTTTAGGCGTGCAAGGGATGATTCCTCCTTGATACTAACTGAGTCAATCGTCAGTTAGTTCTTCAATGTTCATTGTCATAACTATGTAAGTGTGGATAAGGTGACCTATTTTTGAGTTCATAGAACTGGAGCCAGCAGAGCTCCAACCGCATTTTTTTACTTCAATAAGCCAAATTCCAGCGGTATTAACCCTCGCCGGACCTATTGGTTTTCTACATACGCGCCGGCCGAGGGGGGTACGACCCCCTCGCCGTTTCGCCCCTGGTGGAGCTAGCGCGTCGCTGAAAAAACGCTTTTGAAAACCGTAATAGGCTCAATATTGTATTTCCTTCACATAGCTCCATGACTCCGTCCGATTTCACGGCGTAACTAACATCAGTTCGGTGGTCCCTGCCCTCAGGAGTGAGCTGCTGGAGCGGCCGGGCCGGGCTGTTCTGGGTTGGGTCCGGACGGGACTTGGGGACCGGCGCCGCCCGCGGCGTCAAATACATGTGTCTGCCCGCGCCCCGATGCCGCCCGCGGCGACAATACATGTGTCTGCCCGCGCCCCGATGCCGCCCGCGGCGACAATACATGTGCCTGCCCGCGCCCCGATGCCGCCCGCGACGTCAGCAGTGCTCTCTGTGGCAGCCAGTGAACAGCCGCCACATGGCCTATGTCAGGATCGCTCGAGGCGCTGCAGTAGGTCCTGCTGGCCGTGTCCGGTGTTTGGTTGTCAAGCTCTGAAGCACCGTTTTTGTTGAGTTTGGTTATCAAGCTCAGAAGTCAGAGGCACCGTTTTTGCTGCGTGATACCGATGGCACGGACGCATGTACCATGTTCGGTTGTGTCTCGTGTGCCTGGTGTAAGTCTAGTGATTGTGTTGATCCGATCGAGTCTGTGCTAGGGTCCAGTGGCAGCGCCCGATGCCGTCGGTCCATGTGTGGTCGGCAAAGGGTGGCCAGCGGCCTAGCGTACGTCGGAGTCGTGAGCGTCAAGATGGCGTGTGAAGTGTGTATGGGTTGTTGTGTATCTCGATAACGTGTTTCCTCATAATGGTTTCGATGCTGTAAGTTCTCGTAAGTCCGTTGTCATCAGTTGTTCTCTGGTGTCCGTCCTTCCCTGTTCGGCACTGGCAGCGGTGCCCGGTGATAGGGCTGAATCGGGCCGGGGGCTGGGCTGTGCTGGGTTGGGTCCGGATGGGACTCGCGGCCCGGAGCCGCCCGCGGCGTCAGTAAGTACATACATTGAGTTTTACATTGAGACAGAAGCACCGTTTTTGTTGAGTGACACCGATGGCACGGACTTGAGTACCATGATCCGTTGTGTGTTGTGTGCCTGGTGTAAGATTGTGTTGATCCGATCGAGTCTGTGCTAGGGTCCAGTGGCAGCGCCCGATGCCGTCGGTCCATGTGTGGTCGGCAAAGGGTGGCCAGTCCGGCAGCTGCATTTTTGTGTCCTTATTGAAATACACTGTCAGTCGTCAGAAAATGAACCTTTTTGCACCGTAGCGGCATGCTGCCGTTGGCGTGACGCTGCACATGTCCACACGGAGCCCGTCGGTGGGCGAGCTGCAGGCGGGGCTGGCGCTGACGGGCGGCGCCAGCCCGCGGCTCGACGGCGCGCTGGCCGACCGGCTCGGCTCCTGCCGGACGCCGCTGGTGGCCTCTCAACTGCTCTGCGCCGTTGCATACCCGTTATTGTCCATTATGTTTTACCGTTCGTGTCTGATTCTGGTCTCCATGGTTGATCCTATGTCGTTCGTGCCAGGTTATGGTAACGTTCTTTCCTGATGTACATACCATCGCGCCATATTCTGGAACCGTTCGTGCCTGGTGACGGTACGCTCTCCAGTCCAAAATGGTGCCGTTTGTACCAGGTTCTGGTGCCGGGTCTCATAACTGTTCGTGTTAGATTACGGTAGTTACTAGTTATGCTTGACTGTTCTGTAGTTCGAGCCTGAATTGCCTCACCATTTGTACCAGCTTATGGTGCTGAGCCTGACGCTGATGCCGTTCGTTCCAGCATTGGATCCCGTTCGTGATATACAGTTGCGCCAAATTCTGGTCCTGCTCGTGCCCGATTTTGGCCACATCCGTGCCAACGATTATCTCAGTTGGACTTTATCGTCATATTGCCTTCATTATTGACCGCAGAAATGGTCCATTGAACTTCGGCACCTTACAAACATTTTATTTGTATGTGCTTGGATTTAATTTATGTGATTTGATTGATTTTATTTATCTTGGATTGAAGCACGCTTTACTCCACTTCGAATGGCGTATCGCCTCTCTCGTTACACATGGGCTCGCGTCGTTTTTTTTCAGCGTGACATTGACCTTGACCTTTGATTTTGAGCACATTTTCGAAATCCTCAGGTTCTCTTCTTTCGTTTGACACCCAATTTTTCCGGTTTGATGCTGCCTGCGGCCTGCCGTCCTCTAGAAGGCTTACTTTGAGATCACTACACATGTGCCGGTTTTTGCCTTTGACCTTGACCTCTGACCTTGAAAATTGACCTGAGGTCAAAATTTTAGGTGCTTTAGAATCGTCTCGTAAGGACCTTTCGTTTGGTATCGCTTCTGTTACCGTAGCTCCCTTATTTACGGAGTTAGACAGGGGGGGGGGGGCGAAAAACGCCCCCCGGGCTGCGGTGGTTGGGATTACCCCCCGGGCCCGGCCGGGTTAAGGTGTAGACCTCGAGTCAAGGTCAGGTCATGGAGCCCCTCAGGCCTCAAGTCACGAAGTTGATCAAAGGATATCATATTGCATAGCATTCGATTCTGCAGGTCTTCCCGAGTCCAATGGTGTCTTTCCCGACTCTCTACTTAAATTTGATCGGGAGTTATTGACGAAAAACTCTTATGACCCTAGTGACGTCGTAAATGACGTCACGCAAGGTCAACAATGCAATAGTGAAGCATCGGACCTTGCAAGGAGTGCATGAAATCACGATTCCATGCAGGGACGTACCCAACGGGGGGCGTCCGCCCCCCCCCTTGGGTTTTTTAGGAGGCCCCAGATGGAATCAGGGCCCCGTGGGCCGAAGGTCCACGTTGGTTAAAATCACGTCGGAGGCGAACGAAATTCACGGGAATCCCCCCCCCCCAAAAAAAAACACGTCAGGACAATCAGGGCCCTCTGACCAGCCTGACAAGTGACAGCTAGGGTCCTTCTTACTTCCTGGGGCCTCCTGTGAATAACCGTTAGTGTCTGTGTCTGACCGCTAGGGCCCCTCTGACTCCTCAGTAGAGAGGAGGCCTCTGAAGGTAGGAGGCCCTCTGTAAAGAGGAGACCCTCTGTAGAAAGGAGGCCCCCTGTAGAGAGGAGGCCCCTTTAGAGAGGAGACCCTCTGTAGAAAGGAGCCCACCCGGGATTCCTCCGCCCCCATCCCTTGGCAAAATTCTAGGTATGCGCCTGATTCCATGTGCTTGGGATAGTTTTAGATCATTCCCGGCGCCAAAATAGCAGTTTTCATATTTACCCATTGACTTAATAATGGTGAGGTCACGTAACCGACCTAACCACGTGTGACCTTTAGGAAAAGATCAGAGATATATACAAGTTGTGAGACCTCTGAAGGTCTCACAGATAAAACTTACATCTTCGTAAGTTTCATCTCCCTGTGAAAGTTCCTCTAGCACTGAGGGCGTTGCGAAGTTGCGACATCTGAGGACCGTGCATAGGTTCACTTATGTTATAGGTCACGTCACTGACCTGACCTGAGCTGAAAATACGGCTGATCTCACAAGATCCGGCTTGAGTCAAAGGTCAGGTATGCCAAGTTTCAGCTCTCCATCGCGGGCGTGTTCCGAGCTATTGCCAAAAAAAAAGTATGGGGGCGGCACCCGCCCCCCCCCCCCCCCTTGGCCGGCGAGTGCTCGACTTCGACTATTAATTGATGGGAACATATGCCACAATATGCGAATAAACGTAAGATAAGCACCGAATCTGTCCATCGTGCACCTGATAGGTACACCTCAAGAATTATTGCATGTCCGTCCCTCCAGCATCTCAACCTCCGTGCCTCACCGGCGAGCGACGCAGCGATTCAATCCATGAAGGAACATATCCGAATTTTTTCTTCCTAGATAGGCAAAACCTTTCATTAAAAGATGCACAAGTTTATTGCAACATCCTAGATGATGCAATAAATCGAGGCAAAAATGTTGCGATAAACATGTTGCGATAAATTGAAATTTGTTCATCTTGTGTTACGATAAACGCGAGAAACTAGTATGTATGTATTTTTCGCTTCAGGCTCTGAGGCCAAAATAATGAATTTCGTAGTCGCAATCGCAAGATTTGGCTGCGTTTCTGGCGCATGCCGTTCATTTGTGGCGCAAAATAATACTTGGAAACAAAGAAGAGTAGGCACTATGTACGAATCTAATTAATTCTAAACCGAATTAACTCTAATTCAAATTAGAATCCTTACAACCAAGCAACGACAAGGCGATAACATAAACAAAAACCCAAGCGTCGCTGTTTGAAACAAAAGCGCCATATACTGCGACTTTTTTATAGAGAAGGACAGAAGGACAACGCATTTCGGTGGGTGTTACAAGTACTGCAAGTACTGCTTCTTTTTTGCAAAAATAAAAACCTTTTTCACATACGAAAATGTGCTAGGAAATTTTCATATTTTATAGAAACTACAGTAGAAATAGTATAGATGTCGAGTAATTTTTATTAAAGAAAAAAGAAAGCTCATTATCTCCCTTTAATGCAAATGGCCGCCGCCTCTAAGGCCGCCATTATGGAAGAGATTACACGTGACGTGTGTCAATGCTTCCGTAAAATTATGGACATTTTACTTAGATTTCATCGCGATATCATTACAGTGGTGGCTGCTATCTATCAGTGTGCCTCGTAAGTAATCATTTATCAAGTTTTGTTGTGTTAAACATTTGTTTATGAAGAAAAATTGGCTGCGTCAGTATCGTCACCAATCACCATGCTACTTGACTTGGGTTGAACTGTAGGTATCATGGGTTTTGTTTACATTAATGGTGCAGCCCAAGGTGTAGCCCATCATTGTCAATTGGGTCACCAACCACTTTTGGATCATGATAACACACTTAACCCTGTCTTGAGTCTTGACCGGACTCGAAATGAATGACTTGAATTGAAAGAACGTTTGATGGTTCAGGCATGGACAAGATTCAGGGTTAAGTTATTGTTCTAACACTTCATGCAGATGACTTGAATCCACATTCCAGTTAAATAACTGATCTGAATATTTGTTAATAGTTACAAAATAGTTATATTTTTTGCAATGCAAATAATCAAGAGATTGCCTCATTTGTTTTTGTTACCTTATTTGAAAGTATTAGGTACCTTTCAAGGCTTATCATATGTCTTGAGAAAGTTTGAAGCACATGTTTGATAATTCCCAGATTTCGGTATCTAGTCGGTATTTCCCCCTATATTTGAAAATCGGTTCGGTTTTGGTATGCTCTTAGTGGTTTTGGTCGGTATCGGTTTGGTATTGGTTTCCAAAATTTCTGAAATTGACATCACTAACAGCCGCAGCCAGTTGAAGTCAGCTGAGTGGGACAGGCCGTGTCCGGCTTTGAAGGGCACGTTAAACTTTGGTATCTAAATTCCCACGTTACCCGGAATTGCGCGATCGGACGGTAGGGGTTGGGGTCTACGCAACAAGCTCTGCTTAGCGTTGGCCCCGGCTCTGTGAATCGGTCCATTTAAACATTCGAACTAAATTTATTAAAAAATGTTTATTTCTCTTCAATTATATGATATATCTCAGCAACAATCGCAACACTTTTTCAAGTAATTTGGAATTTACACACAAGTTAAACATACCTATATAATAATTTATAAGTAAGATCATATATCTTTATAAGTGGCTTGCAGAGATCTGTGTTAACCCTAGAACGCCTAGGGGGGGGGTTGTATCAACCCCCCCCCTGAGGTTTTTTCGAAGTGCACGCTAAACGGCTTGTCGTAGCGGGCTGAAATTTTCAATACCCTCTGGGGAAACCTTTGCGCATCTTTTGCCGAAAAAAAATTGATCGGGTCATGTCAGGTCACGGAGTTATGACGTCATAAGAGGTACAGCCTCCGGCCGGATTTTCACAAACTGAGTGCCAACGCCCGAGGTTTCCTGCCGGTGGTACGGACATCGGTTGATGGATCGTGATGAAACTTCCCATGCATGTTGGGGCAAGTATTGGCTATCATATGGTATAAGAAATTTGACCGGGTCAGGTCAGGTCACGGAGCTATGACGTCACAAGAGGAACAGCGTCCGGTACTATTTTTGAAAAGCGCCCGAACCACTATTTTGCTAATTCTTGTCACCTCAATGGGAATATGCAGCAATATTAGCTTCTATAGGGAGCAAATGGACCTCCCAAATCAAAAAATACAATCAGATTTCAAAAATTTAAATTTCGATTTTTCGAATTTCTGCCGCCGACTGTGACCTTGCCGACTTCCGGCGCTCCCAACGCGCCATTTTTAGAGCT